TTCAGTGGTGCCCCTCTATTTGTGCATAAATCTTCTCTGCAGTTGTGAGAATACATGAGGCAAATGCTGTAAGGAATTCACTGTCATCTTTCTTGAAATGGTACGTATTTTAATATACCGGTGCCGTGTTGTGAGAAATCACAATGTCATTTGATTTAAAAAGTGCAGGTTATAACGTATGTGCACTGTGTCTGATATCACTATTTTCTTTGCTTCTGTGAAAGCTTGTACTCACTGGGAAATAGCAGAAATCTATTCTAACAATTAAGTCCTAAAAAGGATCTTAGCTGTTCAGGTCCATCTTGTGGCTTTCAGGTATTGCATGTTTGAATTTTCTCTGGATCCTTGGGTAGGTTTTGTCCATCAATAGGGCCAGCATAATACATAACATTAAATTTAAATAACTATTTTTTGTTGTTTTGTGTTTGAAAGTTATAGTATATCATTTCTGCCTTGAGGTTTTGCAGATGTGCCTCTCATAGTCTTCAATGGTAATCATGTCATCTAAATAACTCTGCATAGTTGGATTACCATGTAGCATTTAATTTATATACCTCTTTGGCAAAGTACGATGAGGATGCTCCACCAAAACCAAGCCATTATACACTATAACCTTTTGTGAATATTTATAATGAGAAACATCTTGGAATTTTGCTCTACTTCTCTATCTGTCAATAAGCCCCTGCTATGTCTATTTGATTAAAATGTTGTCTTCCAGTCGGGTTATAGCGTACAATAGTGGATTTTTGGTATTCTAAAACCACTATAAATCCTGACATTTCTATTCTTGTTTGGCTAACTGGAAATAGAGGTTCCAATCAACGTTGGAGAATTATCTCAGCTGATTCTCTGATCCAGTTCANTCCCCCACCCTCCCCACCTGAACCCATCTCCCCCCCAACCTCCCCCCCCACGCTTCCCAGAGCAAATACAGGGTATAAATCTTTAACGATCATATTCTAAAAGAAACTAAAAGAAACTTTAGCATCATGATCCTGAGCCCTGATTTCAACGACAATGAAATTAGTTGAAAATGTTTTCCCTGTGCTCCCAGAAGCGTAATTTGTAACGTTGGCTTTCCCTCCTTACCAAAGGGAGCCGCCTTGTGGAGTACCGTGAAGCCGTTACTACGGTAAACTCCACTGCGCTGTACAGTAGAAGACATTTTAAGGCATTACAGTAGAATCCATTTTAAGGCACAACAAAACACACACCCCGAGGGGTTTTAGGAGCATCTTATCCCTCACAGTATTTGTTTCCAGAGAGTAAGTCATCTGTGTACTAAGTTTGGTTGAAATTGCTGGAGAGGTTCCAGAGTTATGCTGGAACACACAAACACACACACACACACACACACAAACACGACAGATTCTGAATTAAATTGGGAACTGAGTTGTAGAATTCCTTATGAAACCCAAACTGAATTGATTTTAGAATTGGGTAAATACAATGAGTTGTGTCCATGCATGAGCAAATGGAACTTTTAGATCAGGATTGTAAGCCTGTATTTATTTCTCAGTGTCCCCAGTCTCTGGAGGGGGGGAAAAAAACCTATCACTGAAGATGTCAAAAAAAATCCTTCTTTACGACTCTCAATTGGACAGTTGTTTATTTATGCCGTATATTTTGGCAACTCTTGGACATCTTTCTTTGAACTTCCATCTGAAATGTCTGTCTTCTCCCAATATATCCTTCATGGGGGCATACAGATCCATCACACTATTCCCTTTTGGGACAAATGATATTGTGCCAAGGAAAGAAAAGGGCTATAAAATAGGGTTATCCGAAGAAAATTAAGGCAGGAGAAAAGAAAAAGAAACAGAAGTCCAGCTAAGTCTCATTCATAGCAGCGGCATTCAATGCATTTTTTCCACATTCTTGCAAGTCATCCTGTTTTTTACTATTTCTGTCCAACATTATATAGTTCTGGGTGGTTGATTTTGTTTGGAGGATCTCCATAGCTCCATCCAACCATGACTTGGTCAGTTTTCTTCCCAGCTGCTTCCTTTTTCCTTCTCCTGTTTGCTTTACAGTTTGATTCTTATTCCTTCTTTCCATACGACCAAACCACTTCAAATGTAATGCTTTTGCATTTCATACTCAGCCAGTCCCATGTGTATTCAACCCTTCGATTCACTCACCGTTCAATCATTCTTGACCCTTTCCTTTTTTCCTTGACCCCACAGGCAGGGACACACACGCATGCACGCACACACACACACACACACACACACANCCCAAAGATGACATGCAGTAGAAGACCAAGGAACAGGCAACAGGGTGAAATAGCCGACATTATGGGAGATTCTGTCACCAATTATGAGCCATCATTTGCCAGATTTCCAAAGGAAAGACAAAAGGACACCTCTTCAACACCCAGTGGAGAAAACAATAGCAAGATACCACCTGGAAAAAAAAGGCTTCTTTTGGAAAAACTGTTTGGTCCAAACTGCATCTTAAATACCAAATAATGGTTGGCATTATGTGATTCCAATCAATCTTATAGAACTAATAGATATCAGATAGTATTGGATATATTAGATAGTATAGTAATATTAGTATTAGAAATAGAACATATTAGATGATAGATATTAGATAATGTTACAACTAAGTGATATTAGATAGTAAATATTAGTATTAGAAATAAGTGATGTTAGTAAATATTAGTATTAGAAGTAGGATATATTAGATCGTAGATATTCAATATTACAACCAAGCGATATTGGATAGTAGATATTGGTATTAGAACTAAGTGATGTTAGATAGTAAATATTACTATTAGAACTAGGAGATAGTAGTTTCTGTAGTTGCTATTGAAATAAGCATCACAAAAACTCTATTTTGTGAACTTTTTGAACATTTTTATTAAACATAAATATAAAAGGAATTTTGAAAAGGATGTTTTAGGACTTACGTTTATCAATTTCTACCTCTAAATAAGATTTCCTTGAAGTCTCTTTCTCTTCTACTTGAAACGAAGAAAGGAGAATATTTGTTGCAGCTTATATCCTGATATGTTGTTTCACCACATGAGAGAGCCAAAGACTGTCATCTTTTAACTTGTCAGCAATATAGTTATATTTACAAGACCTTGTGGAATTAATGTTATAGACTCTTAATTTTTAAATTTTAGTTATGTTTTTGGACAATGGTTACACAAACGAATTGATACAATTGAAATAAGATTATCAAGTAAAGCTGAATCTTCAAGAGCTTGTTTGGATAAATGTACAGAAAATCACATAAAGTAATGAGAACAAAGTTTGAACTGCATTCTAACCACGAAGCCCTGGGGGGCACAGTGGTTAGAATGCAGTATTATGCAGGCTGACTCTGCCCACAGCCAGGAGTTCAATCCTGAAGGTGCTTAAGGTTGACTCAGACTTCCGTCATTCCGAGGTCAGTAAAACGAGGATCCAGATTGTTGAGGGCAACATGCTGACTCTGTAAACCGCTTAGAGAGAGTTGAAAAGCACTAGGAAGTGGCATATAAGTGCTATTGCTAAAACTTGATACATTTTCAAAGGAACTCCATGAACACTTAACTGGCTATATTAAACAGATAAAGGATAGAGAGGAACAAATGAAAGTTTAGAAAATAAAAATTGTGAGCATCTGGAGCCCAGAGTTTTATACATTCCCCTATAAAATAAAGAAATAGATAAACTGAGTGGTACAGAGCCATCCAGACAGGTAGTAACTCTCCTGTTGAAAGAATACTAAGCGCAAAAGGAAGCCGGTGAATAAAGTAGCCATCTCCTTGACCATTACTGTCCATACTCATTCCTCAGGGCAACATGCCATCATCTTCTCTTTTATCAATATTGTTGGTTTTTCAGACATAGTGATGTTATCCTAAAACTATCTTGGAAACAAGCAAACTATAAGTAACAGTGATAAAAGACAGAAGTGGGAATTGTGATGCATCATTATTTTCTCATTAGAATATGACACCATTGTTTGATTGATTCAGATGGTCTAATTTAATAGGGAAATGTACTGGGATATAATCTCCAAAATGACAGAATGATTTCAGCTTGAATTCAAGGCAACATCACAGTAGTCCAAGTCTATGCCCCAAACACTGGTGCTGAAGAGGATGAAATTGACCGGTTCTATGAAGCCCTACAACACCTTCTAGAATTAACACCAAAAAATGATATCCTTATCATCATAGGGGATTGGAATGCTAAAATAGGAAGCCAAAAGATAACCGGAATAACAGGCAAGTTTGGTCATAGAATACAAAATGAAGCAGGGCACAGGCTGGTAGAATTTTGTGAAGAGAATATGATGGTCATAGCAAACATTCTTTTCAAACAAGCCAAGAGACGATGCTACATATTGACATTGACCAGGTGGTCAACACAGGAATAAGATTGACTATGTGATCTACAGCCAAAGATGGAGAAGCTCTATACAGTCAGTAAAAAGACCAGGAGCTGACTGTGGCTCAGATCATGAGCTTCTCTCTTGCAAAATTTTGGCTTAAATTGAAGAAAGTAGGGGAAAGCATTAGGACACTCAGGTATACAGTAGAGGTGACAAATTGATTTAAGAAATTAGATCTGATATATAAAGTGCCTGAAATACTATGGACGGAGGTTTGCAACATTGTACAAGAGGTAGCAGCTAAAACCATCCCAAAGAAAAAGAAATGCAAGAAAGCAAAATGGCTGTCTGAGGAAGCTTTGCAAATATCAGAGGAAAGAAGGGAAGCAAAAGGCAAGGGAGAGAGAGAAGGATACTCCTAATTGAATGCAGCATTCCAAAGAATAGCTAGAAGAGATAAGAATGGCTTCTTAAATGAGCAGTGCAAAAAAACAGAAGAAAACAATAAGGATAAGGAGGACCAGAGATCTCTTCAAGAAAATTGGAGATATGAAGGAAACGTTTCATGCAAAGATGGGCGTGATAAAGGACCATAATGGCAGGGACCTAACAGAGGCAGAAAAGATTAAGAAGGTGGCAAAATTACACAGAAGAACTATACAAGAACAATGATGTGGTTACTGACCTCAAGCCAGACATCCTGGAATGTGAAGTCAAATGGGCCTTACGAACAACAAAGCAACAACAAAGCTAGTGGAGGTGACAGTATCCCAGCTGAGCTATTCAAAATCTTAAAAGACGATGCAGTAAAAGTGCTGCACTCAATTTGCCAGTAAATTTGGAAAACTCAACAGTGGCCACAGGATTGGAAAAGGTCAGTTTACATTGCAATTCCCAAGAAAGGCAATGCCAAAGATTGTTCAAACTACCACACCATTGCACTCATTTCACATGCTAGCAAACTTATGCTCAAAATCCTACAAGCTAGGCTCCAGCAGTATGTGGACCAAGAACTACCCGAAGTACAGGCAGGATTTTGAAAAGGCAGAGGAAGTACAGATCAAATTGCCAACATATGCTGGATCATGGAGAAAGCTAGATACTTCCAGAAAAACATCTACTTCTGCTTCATTGACTGTTCTAAAGCCATTGATTGTATGGCTCACAAGAAACTGTGGCAAGTTCTTGAAGAGATGGAAGTACCAGACCATCTTATTTGTCTCTTGAGAAACCTATATGCGGGTTAATAAGCAACAGTAAGAACTGGACACGGAGCCACTGATTGATTCAAAATTGAGAAAGGAGTTCGGCAAGGCTGTATATTGTTGCCCTGTCTATTTAACTTATATGCAGAGCACATCATGAGAAATGTTAGACTAGATGAATCACAAGTTGGAATTAAGATTGCTGGGAGAAATATCAACAACCTCAGATATGCAGATGATACCTCACTAATGACAGAAAGTAAAGAGGAACTAAAGAGCCCCTTGATGCAGGTGAAGGAGGAGGGTGCAAAAGTTGGCTTGAAATTCAACATTAAGAAAACTAATATCATGGCATCTGACCCTCTCAATTCCTGACAAACAGATGGGCAAGAAAATGAGGCAGTGACAGATTTTATTTTCCTGGGCTCCAAGATCACTGCAGCTGAGGACTATAGCCAAGAAATTAAAAGACACTTGCTCCTGGGGAGGAAAGCTATGGCAAATATAGACAGCATACTAAAAAGCAGAGACATCAACCTGCCAACAAAAGCGCATATAGTCTATTCTCTGGTTTTCCCAGTTGCAATGTATGGCTGTCAAAGTTGAACCATGAGGAAGGCTGAGCGCCAAAGAATTGAGACCTTTGAACTATGATGCAGGAAAGACTCCTGGGACTCCCTTGGAGCTTGGATTGCAAGGCAATCAAACCGGTCAGTCCTAGAGGACATCAACCCTGACTACTCTTTAGAAGGCCAGATCCTGAAGATGAAACTCAAATGCATTGTCCACCTAATGAGAAGGAAGGACTCACAGGAGAAGAGCCTAATGCTGGGAACAATTGAGAGCAAAAGAAGAAGGGGGCGACAGAGAATGAGGTGGCTGGATGGAGTCACTGAAGCAGTCCACGTGAACTTAAATGGACTCCAAGTGATGGTAGAGGAAGGCCTGGAGGAACGTCCATGGAGTCGTGATGCGTCAGACAAAACTTCACAACTAACAACAACATAATAAAGCATTAAAATGATAACCCCTCACCCGAGCGACAATACATATACAAACCATTTAATGGGCTCCATCCTGCTCTGGGTTCCCCAGGCCCACTGGTACAACCACGTTGGAGGCAATAGATATATAGCTGTTGAAAGGAACCCCTAATATATTCCCTGCATATTTATATTAAGTGAAAGTGTTTTCTCCACTAATGTAATGAATCGAGACTGTTATTCTCTTCCAAACATGTAACTGGCATACTTTAACCATTCCTCACCAAGGTTGGTGAAAATAAAACACTAACATGCCTTGCATTTTCTATCTTTATGAAATAAATATTTCATATTTTTGTTACGTGATGAATTGACTAATTTGCAATATAAGAATTGCCAAGCTAGAAATAAAATATTTCTTTAATACTCAGGACATTAATTTTGTACAGAAATGGATTAAAGAGGATTAGAGAATTTCAAAGTTGGAGGAGGAGGGAGGGAGGGAAGGAAGGAAAGAGATAATTGGAGCAGCATCACACTCCTTTCTTGAACAGCAAGTAAGTAGCTTTGGAAGACTCTTCTATGGAGAAGCATAAGTTATGGTGCATAACTTACCGCCATCAACCCTGAGGACGTTTCCACAAACACTTTAATAACCATTTTGACAATGGCACTAGAGAGAACCAGTGTGTTCGCAGTGTCCAATGTACGTAAAAAAGCAAAGTGTTAGCGACCCTACAGCATCTTGGCAAGCAGAGAGAATTGCCAGGAGATCTCCACTTCTGCTAAGTTCAGCTGGCCCCTCCTCCTTCTTCTACCCCAGTTCATTGGCTCTGGGGAACCAAGGGACGATAGGTTTGTGGGAGTATCTGTTGTGAGCGATTTCACCTGCTTGGCACTTTAGATTGACCGGTTGTGAGGAGAGAAAAGGGTGCTCAACTGGAGGAGGAGGGGAATCATTTTCTTAAGGTATTTTGTATGTTGAAGCAAAATGTGCTAATATCAGTCATATTTGTTTATATATCTATTTGTCAAATGTATATAATATAGTTGCAAATCCCACTAGAGCCATACAAGATGAAGATCACATTATGGCTGTTTTGTCCTCCAAATTTAAAGCCACACTCATTTTTTTCTAGTCCCACCTCCCTCGTATGCATTCAACATATAGGTTTGACTTAATAAGGAGTGCCTGGTTCTCACCCTTTTGTGCACCTCTGTATTTTTGAATGAAATACAGGAGTGGTTCATCATTGCCTTGTCCCATGGAATATATAATACCACATGACCAACTTTATATTACAAACTTTTTTGTGGTGTTTGTTAAATGAACCCCTCAGTTGTAAAGCAAACAATCATTAATATTAAGATTAAAAAGATCATTAACCAAAGACTGTGGTTGTTAAGGAAGTCAATGCATTCTTATGGCCATTTTTTTTGCCAGAAATCAACTCAAAGTATCAGTTGTCTGTGTTTCACCATGATAGACAGTTCAACATGACTATTTTCAAGGCAGATACATCTCTGAATATCTCTCTGAGTTTTTAAGAACATTTCTAGGGAAGACAGTACATTAGGAGCTCTGTTATTGTTGAAGGCATTGAGGAATGTGCTAAGATGATATCTCTGAAACAATGACCAAATGGGTCGTGGGTTCTCTGATATTTATTAAAAAGCTGACTAGGACAAGGAGTTCTAGGTTCAAGTCCATTTTACATCTGCAATGTCTTAGGCAGCATTGCTTTAGTGACTATCAATCAAATAATATGGAGTTTCTATTGTAAAGAAATATTGGAGGAAATATGGAAATCCTGGAGAAAACGTGAGATATAAATCTAATAAATAAATAAAACAAAGCCCTTATTTATTTATGTTTTTCTAACTTGGATTATAATTTAAGTCTGTTAATACAATATTTGGAGAATTTAGATAATTAGAGTAAAATGAAAAAGGAAAAGTCTGTAATTGAGGTGGAAGGGAGGCTATTAGTGGAGATTTAAGGACACTCACATACATAAATGGCAACATGCACTTATATGTTTTTTCCAGTGATGTGTGGTCAGCTTTAGCCTTGGTGAGGGACTTTTTAGACTTGTGGACTTCAACTCCCAGAATTCCACAGCCAGGCATGCTCAGTTCCGATTTAAAGCGACAGCATTTTTCCCCCTTGCAAAATAAGTTTTCCCATTCTTTTTCTTTTCCCTCCCCCTCCTTCCTCCCTCTCTCCCTCCCCCCTCTCTCAAACAGACACATGCACACAGAGAACTTCGATCCCTCTCTCATTCACTCACTCTCAAACACAAACACAGAAGTTGGATTGGATATATTTTCCAAAGGCTTGAAAGCAGCTCCTCTGCCATACCCCCCCTTCCCCTGCTGCCTTCTGATCAAACTTTTTGAATTCCTCCCCCCTCCCCACACGCACTTTTTCCAGCTGTTTCAGAGACGATTTCAACTCTGCTTCTCCCTGCCCTGCCCTGCCCTCCCCTCTTGAAAAGCCAGAGCTCTGTCAGACTGAGCTAGTTGCTCCCAGAGAACTCTAAAAAGCCTCTAAAAATGCCCTCTACAGGAGGCGAGAGAATACATGCCTCATTTGCATAAGGAATTCTTTGCTCGTTAACCCTTGCTTAACTCTTAAAAGGCGAAAAATTCCTTATGCAAAAGAGGCCCCTAGTTCTCTGGCCTCCTCCTAGTTAATACTGAGAGCAGACACCAAGGCACTGTGACTTGAAATCTGGTAGCAACTACCCTGGCTTTAATTATTTTAAGAAAATTATTTAAAATCCTTTCCTTTCTCTGAGGAGACTGGTGAGGCTCCCTTGCCTCTAGTGACTGCACGTCCCTGGTTTTTTCTGTGATCTTTTAGGAACTGAAAACTAACCTAGAGCTAAAAGAGTTATGTAACACAAATACAAAAATTGAACTTTAAACAAAAGTTCATCTGCCTTAAAAACCAGCAGTGTACAACATTTCAAAAAGGACATTCATGGGGAAAAAACAGAAATGACTAAAAAAATTGAACCATAAAAATCACCAAACATACCTTTCAAACATAGTAGTATAATGCTTTATTTTATAATTGCTCTGTGTTACTGTGAATAATGTCTATTTTTCAAAAGAAATACAGAATTTGGCATGTTTCTTGGACCATTTATCTAAACTGAACTTTATGTTATACATAGTACTCAAAGTTTAACTACATTTAACTAAATTTTATTGTGATATTTCATTTCATCATCCTGTATCCTTCCAGAAATAGTGCAGTCCAATATCTCTTGCCATTTGTAGAATCTGTATTCTAAGTGTTTTCTTGATAAGTCTTATGTGGACTTCTCTTGACCACTTGTTGTTCATTGCATATCTTATAAGGATTCGAAACCCTCCATCTGTTCCTTTCATTTGCTTGACTTTTGTTATCACTGGCGCTTCTGCTGAAATTACACTCATTGTTTCTGCCAAATTTTCTCCCCTTTCTTCATCTATGTTTTGACATCTGAGATAGAGTTCCAGTTCATCGATCTCTCCTTTCTGTATTTTGCACTTATCATTTCCCTCCGCACTCAATTTGCTGTCAATGTCAACAATTTTCTTATTACTTTCATATGTCTCTGTAATTTC